TGAGTTGATTAAAGCAACAGTCCCAGCAGGGTTTTTACCTTCGACACTAATGGTGTGGAACGATGCGCTAGCCCTAGTCAAGAACATAAGAAGTGGCTGAACAAAAAACTCACCTTGGAATGCCGCTAACAAGTGAGTTGAACGGCTTCGAAGTGGGCGTGGAGGGAACTGCACAACCACGCCCACTTCAAAGCTGTTCAGCTGCTTTTCTAGCGGCACCACGTGGCGACGAAATAGTATTTGCCCCTTGGACTGAAGCCTTAGAGGAGCAGACGAACAGAGCGCCGCGCCGCCGCGTGGTCCCCCCAACCCATTTAGCACCTTCTTGTGTTCTTGACTAGGGCTAGCGCATCGTTCCACACCATTGGTGTCGAAGGTAAAAACCCTACTGGGACTGTTGCTTTAAGAAGGGTGTAGTAGCTCAAATTATATTAGAAAAACTGTGGAAGGAAACTTGAAAAATAGGGGCTAAATGTGGCATCCTTGTTCTTTACGATGCACTTCTTATTTTCTGCAAAAACAGAGTGCCTCAATAGCGTATAATTAAAAATTTGCAGGAACAGTTCCAGTTCGTGGACAAAACAGTTCAGAAGTCAAAAGATGCGCTAATAAGTGAGTTTATTTTGGTCGTTTATTGTTGTTGGGTGAAGAATATAAAGAAGAATGTAATCCATCTTATTTTTGTAGAAACAAAAACATACGTTGACGAAGAGTGGACTGTGCTCCCAAAGGCTGCAGCCATTACCGTTGGTGGCATGGCAGGTTTCGTACTTGGGCTGAAAAGGTAAACATTTTTCTGAAATCCTGTAGTGATCACCTTATTCCGATAATAACAGAGGTATCATCGGCCGTTCATTCACAACTGCAGTCGGGCTAGCCACTATGGCCGCTTTTTGCTATCCGTATGAAACAGTTGACGTAGTTCGCACAGGAATCGCTCATTCAGAGAGTGCATGGGATCGGTTCAGAAACTGTAAGTCTTTTAGATGTTTTGTCGTATTTCGAACGAGTCCTATGCACACGACCTATGTGGCATTTACTTGCGTTCTGGATTTTGCCTTTAATTGGTGAACTGGAAGATAAGACGCAATTGGAATGTTTCACTTTGGGGAAATGGCCATGCTTTTTGGTGGTTTTTCATTTTCAATTTTTTTAATTGGAGGCTGTTTTGGCATACCTGTCCCGCATAGAACATTCAGGCACTCCGCCATTATCCCATTCTCC